TTTGAACTGATATAAACCTTTTTATCAATGAAATGCTTACTCTAAACACCTTTTCTCATTATGCTTTCTTGAACAAAAAAAAAACGCGTTTTAACCGAAATTTTCTGTTCCAGTTTGATTATCAGAAGAAATAATCGTTCTATAGCTACATAGTTAGTGATTAGTTTATTTAATCGTTCTATGAAATCTATACCCAAATTTGCAAACGGATAATGATCAGAAAACATATATGTTCCTAATCAATATTTTGTAATGAGTTCACTACTTAGTCTTAGTGTATAAAAAATTTCAACAAAGAAAGTGTATGCCACTTGGAATAAATTGAACTTGAAGTAAGAAGAAGTTTAACAAATTTAATAAACATTTCTTCGTATTTCGCTAATATCTCAGTGGTACTGCAGATCGATAGAAGAACCATTATTCTGTGCTAATATTCCATAAAGACAAAAACTAAGCTGCTATGTTCAATAATGATAGACTTATTAGACATTGGATATTGTCAAAATTTTCATTATAAGTAACTATTGTTAAGTGGGCTTGTTCCATGAACAGAGCAATAGGTTATTTCTTCTTATTTAAAAATATGAGCATCTGTGTATTAGGAATGTTATCGAAGAAGAGAATCAAGCTCATCTATTTTCATATTCTTTTTCATTATAAAATTTAAATAGGGAAGAGATCAGTTGCAGATCAATGTTATTGCACTGATAACCTTCAAATTACTAATTTAACCTTCAAATATTTATTGATATAGAAATATTTTTTTCGAAAGGGAAAACATTTCGAGTTTATATAGTTCAATGATATATAAAGACGACTACTGTTGGTGGCTGTCTGTTTAAACTCGACTTTTGATCAATTTAGATAATCACTTTATCTATTTACTAAAATAATCTAAGACCATCATGGCATAATATTGATGACGTCATAATTCGAATCTGAAATCTACCTTTTGAATTTTAAAAAGTTGACATGCAAGACGTTCAGGGCATGTTTGTCTTTAGTTGCTTCAACAGGAAAAAAATATTTACATGGGAAAGAAAAGAAGATTATTCCCTTTTCTCACTACTCTAATGATGCCCTTGCAGTTCTCTCTTTAATATATATGCATTTGTATTTAATTTTGTGCAGATAGTAGTTGTCTAAGTTAATTGTTCATTTTACTGTTGTTTCGGTTAAGAACCTTGGCGCGTACTACTCAGTATACGTAATGAAAATTTGAATTGAATATCTTGTAACAAATGTATTATTTAGTAATCAGTCGTTGTTTTTTTTTCTTGAAAACAAACCAGTTTCATAAAGCTAATGTAATAATCGTATACACGATAAAGATGAAAATATACAAGCATCAGAATGGGACATACTTCTGTCGAATAAAAATAATGGTGGCAATTAAATTTTCTACGAATTCAAAAGGAAAAATCTTCGTTCTAGATGAAAATGGATAGTAATACTTGTATTAATATGTTGTTTAGTCAATTTCGAAATCGCCTCAGAGTATATATTTATTCTTAGGCCACTTAGCATATCGTTGTCACTTGCAATCAAATCCCATCATTCAATGGTGGTACTCAGAAATTCATCTATGCCATTAGTAAGTAAGGAAGAAAAGAGCATATAAATACAGGTTATTAGTAAGTTTTTTTTAGTGATTGGAACTTTATTGACATAGAAACTTATGTCGAATTCAAAATTCTTTTGATGTTTAAATTTGACATATGCTCTTTCAGATCAATACAAGGCAGAACCAACTGATTTCAGTGATTTCGAGAGATTTCAAATTGATTTCTCCTATTCAAATCAGTTTATTCCCCTTGATTTTGCCTATGATATATATCTAATGTGCACAATGTTGTAAAATTTTTATGACAATTTGTAGGATCCTAATGAGATGGTCTGGAGCTAACTCTCATGAGAATTGCATAGCAGATTTTTAGAAGTCTGTCGAACTTTTATATTAGGATCCACGCATTCTAAATTATGCATAAAATCCAAAAACCCCTATTTTTTCCTATGAAGAGCTCCGATATGATGCATCTTGGTCTACTCAGCTTTTCACAAGTAGAAAGCGCTAGATTTCAAAGATCCCGTGGAATCCTATCAATTTTACTCAATTTTATATGCATACAAACTTTCGACAAGATCGTGCAAAGATTCTACCAAGATCATCTTTCGAAGAGCTTGACATGAGTTGGTAAAAACTTGAAAAGTTTCACCTGTATTCTCTAGGCGAATGTTTACGAGAGCCTTCGCCTGATTTGCATTCATCATCCAGAAAATCATGTGATCAGAAATTTTGTCGCACAACGTGAAAAGCATCCTTCAAGATGCACACTAAATCCTCAAGGTTCCTTAAAAACATCTGGAGTACGTTTGACATTTGTTATTCAAGAAAAACTTTATTGCTTAAATCCTTATCCAGTATTCATATAAATCCTCGGCGGATTAAAGCTTCCTAATACGCTCTTGCACTAAGCATCCAAAGATTCTGTATTGTCACGATTCCGAATAAAATGTGCAGGTTTCCATATGTTGCTTTCGAATGTTTGCATCAATTTAGACTTGCTCTTTCTCAACAAACCTTCTTACAACAATCTATAAGTGCAATTTTCATCTACTGAGATGATTTTACGTTTCAGGAGCCCATAGATCTCGGCAAGAACTTGGAAAATCCCTCTAAAGACGAATTGTTATAGATCCTACAGGAGTTTCTACAGAAATGAACAGAATTGACACTGACGAATGACTTAGATGTTAGAAGCGTTACGAAATCCATTTGTATTGGAAATTACGAAAAGTTTCCGAAGTTTTATCTGCCAAAAGGACATTTTGAAAAGTGTCACTCAATTCTTTGTGAAAACGAATGTCGTATTTATTGTTCTTTACTATGAGAGAGAAGGATCTTTTGGCTTCAACGATGACAATGCGTTTTCATCTTGCATTTGTTGTAGCGATTCCCAATATTCCTGTCAATGCCAGATGGAGACAAAATGGGATAACCGTTGCTGGAGGTCATGGAAGAGGTGATGCCACCAATCAACTCTACTGGCCTGCCGGTCTCTTCGTTGATGATGATCAAACGATAATCATCGCTGATTCTTGGAATCATCGTGTTGTGCGATGGACGATTGGCGATGCGAATGGACAAGTAATAGCTGGTGGTCATGGTAAAGGAAATCGATTAGATCAATTGAACCAACCAACCGATGTGTTGATCGACAAAGAAACCGATAGTCTCATTATCTGTGATCGAGACAATATACGAGTCGTACGATGGTCTCGTCGTAGTGGTACAACTCAAGGAGAAATTCTCGTCGACAACATCCAAGGTTGGGGATTGACAATGGATGATCAGAGATGTCTCTACATTTCTGATCCTGGAAATCATAAAGTAAAACGGCATCAAATAGAAAAGAATGATGATATTGTCGTGGCTGGTGGCAACGGACAAGGTGCTAATGTAAATCAACTGAACGATCCACTCTACATCTTTGTCGATCGACAACAGGCTGTCTACGTGTCGGACAACGAAAACCATCGTGTGATGAAATGGAGTAAGGGTGCAAAAGAAATTGTCGCTGGAGGTCAAGGCAAAGGAAATGCTCTGACACAACTGTCGTGTCCTCACGGCCTGTTCGTCGATATGTTGGGTACTCTCTATGTGGCAGATTCGTTGAATCATCGAGTAATGCGTTGGCCCAAAGGTGCGAAAGAGGGCACTGTCATTGTTGGTGGAAATGGTTTGGGGGAAGGAGCAAATCAGTTGAACAAGCCCATGGGTTTGTCCTTCGATCACCATAGCAACCTTTATGTAGCCGATTATTTTAATCATCGCGTTCAATATTTTCCTATCGAATAAAATCATTACGATCACTTATTATTTTTCTTTCTTTCCTTCAAATAATTCATGTTGACTGGTTATAGAAATGACTATTTAGAGTAGTGCATACGCGAATCTCATGCATGCACAGGGCAGATTCAAATCACCTACATGAGATGCGCCCAAGAGTCTGATGAAAGCCCGGTCGTGTGCCACGAGAACCAAGATAGCTCCTACCCGAGCTTTTAAGTCTATTCGGATGGCCTACATTTAAACAGGAACTTCATCGAGACTAACGCATCCCATCTCTCTCTAGCAAGACCTCTAACACTTGTTTAGTCTTTATTTAATATCATTCCTACCCTCTCCCGATTCTCTTTTTCAAAAAAAAAGAAATAATTAATCACTATATTTGATGTTGGAAGATGATGTTGTGGACCATGAAGACACGATGATATTGATGATTAAAACCCAAGATCGTTCTTCTAAGAGAAAAATTCTGACAATTCTTTTTCGTCGGACAATAATATTAGAAACCAATTTTCATTATGCTCAAATCAAGCACACACATACACTAAGAGGAATTCCATTAACTCATGTCACTATTTATGTGTGTAGGGAGTTAGCTTGATTTATCTGCACAAGAATTATACATTTGATCATTAATGATTGGTGATAACATGGATGATCAATCGTGCGAAAGCTAAGAAAAATTCTTCGTGTGATACGTTATGTTTCTCACGTTCTATTCTCAGAAAGAACGAAAGTAGAAAGGAAAAAAGGAAAACAATAATGACTGCATGGACCTATTTGACATTTGGCATTGCGACTATGAGCGCAAAACAAAAAACATATACACCCACCCCCATATATGAAAAATTGGATTCCAAAATAAAAAAAACCTATTAATTTTTTTTAATGATTAATTACACAGATAATTATCTTCATTCAAAGTTTTATGCTTCATATTTATGATCAACGTTATTTTGGTCAATATCATATGAATTCTATATTTAGTTATACTAGAATTGTTCTATCTTTAAATCCAAACCGATCCAAACGGAATAATCTAAAAAAAATATACATGAAAAAATTAACAACATCATTGCCATGATATTGGACAAAGTAATGATTAATAACTTGTGCAAAACAAATAATAATCATTCTCGATTTGATTTTGATTCTTTAAAATTGTTATTCTTTATAAATTCTTTGCCGACTAACTAATTTCTTTAATAACGGTATCAGTGAATTTTGTTTTGTTTTAGATCTGTAACGATTGTATATCCTCATATAAACTATTATTACTAATATACATAAGAAAGTAATATCATTTATAATTTTGCTAATTTTAATAAATATATCCAAGCTCAAGTTGCTACAAAAGATGAGAATAAATAATAACAACAATCATTTCGTTTCAATGCCATTTCAAATTCAATAACGGGATGTGGCCGCAGGGTCATGTTATCTTCATCCAAAGCCACACCCATAAATATAATATTCGATTATTGGTAATGAATATGTTTAAAAAAATTGATAAAATCTTCCAATTATAAAATTGAATTATTAACATCAGATGAAATTTCAAGTACACAATATTCAACATGAGATACATAAATTATCCTGCAAAGCTCAATACAAAGAAGATAATATGCGTTGCGATACTTGACACCTTCATTTAATGGAATACAGATAAGATAATAAACCTGGTAAAAAAGAAAGGATTAGAATTAGAAATATTATTTAGACTTTTAATTTCTATTTGTAATAGTTTAGAAAATGGGTTACATACATTGAATAATACCGGATGAGCATTATTGAAGTCCGACATTCAAGAATATTCCGTCGGATACTTCATTGCAGTAGAAATAATATAAATTTTATCTTTTAAAAAAATTTATATAATTTAGTATCACAGTTCTTATCACTATGACTCTTTACAACATAATATTCAGCATGGAGTTTTATCAACGACATGTGTTTACGATTATTAACTACTAGCCTTCTTTGAACTAGGCAATTTTAAAGTTCATTAAAACTGATCTCTTTTTATACCCAGGATTCAGTTTAAAAAAATCAATGCGATATACGCTACTGCTATAAGTCAATTTTGTATGAATTTATTTTGTTCATTTCGTATTGTATAATATCAAAAATTTAGAACATTACTGCAAAAATGTAAATTCAATGGTAAGATACACTTTTTGCTGATTTGAATTCTACTGTCAGATTATTTTGAAAAATGATTGAATTTAATATACATGCGATGTGGGTTTCATTTAAACTTTCTTACAATATTTTACGATCAATATCTTTCATTACGAACATATACAAACAGTAAATTAGAATTGACAAACTGAACTCTATATTGCAGAATTTTCTGATATATAATATTTGCAGATTTATATCAGGTGTAACATTGTCATCGTGCAGATGTTGCGCTAACAGCTTTCTGATCATCATATAAGAAGTTTGTGATACAATTCTATTCAAGATCAATAGTTCTGATGGCCAGAATTTTCTATCTGTGATCAGTGTTGACTGTAGACGTGTAGCGTCAGTCATTGGATTCTCTCCTCTAAGATTCTAGAATTTTTCGGCTAGCATTTCCTTACTTGGAATGAAGTTTTCTATTAGATACATTGTATATGAAGACTGCATGGATGGACTATGATAGTGAAGTTCTTAAAAGAAAAATAGAACAAGGTATTTTCTCAGTACCAGAAGACTATTTGAGATATATTTTTTAAGAATGCTGTCTGAAACAGCACTAAATTTTGAAGAGAATGAGAAGTCACTGCGTTTTCTACCACATTTCATGAAAGAGCTATTCAAATCACTATTTAGATGTCAGTTATATGTCCAGTGTTACAGAAAAAAAATATTTTTTTTTATAATTTTGAGCAGCACTGTACATGCACGAGTATTTGCTTCTGAAGTAGACGTATGAAATAAAAGCAAAAAAAAAACAAAATTTCTTATTTTCTGATAATTTGATCACATTTTGCTTCCATATTCTTTTTATCATCTATTTTTTAAAATTTCGTTTATAACTTCAATTGATGCTGGTGTATCATCTTTAGATATATTTTTCATTTCTTCTAAACACATAATTTTCCTTGAAAGTTAAAAAATTATTCATTATTGGCACTCAATAAAACACAAATATTTCCACCAAGTATCAAATTTTCAGTACCCGTATGATTAAGTAATATATATATCAAGTGGCGTAAGATAAAAACCTGAATTTTTAAACTTAAAAATAATACATAAATTGATATAATTAATCAAAATATTAAAAAAAAATTCTTTTTCAAACATACAAAAATCTTCATTAAATTGTAATAGTTCAGCTCAAAAAGATTTTCATTAAAAATTTCAATTATCAATGAAATGAAAATAAAAAAGGTGTAAGTGGTTAGTGAGTGTTCGGTATTAGTGGTTCTATTCTTCACTCACACCCACATTCAATCTAGAAAATGGAACAACTCATCCTATGTTGATTTAAAATAAAGAATTTGCATCGAAAAGCACTTCCCTTTCTTTTTTTGATTGGGAATGAATCCATACATTCTGTTCCTGTAATTTCAACAATAACGCAGAAATATCACGTGCACAGTATTTTTTTTGCCTTGTTGCTTTTTGTTCTTTCTTTCTAACGAGACGAATATATGTGCTTTAACTTTATCTATAACAACAAAAAACCACTCGGATCAAACACGTTTTTCTCTTTCCTACCAACAAATGAAGAAAAAGCCTATTAATGGCCAAAATTTCGTTTTGTTCTGTACTTCCTAAAAGTAAAATCGTCGGGTCTTGCACGACGCTACATATGTGCTATTTTTTAGTTTTTTTGTATCACATAAATCATTGACATGAGCTTCATATCATGCCGTCGTAATTCAATGGCATCATTGGTGTTATACGATCTAGAATCATTTGTTTTACGTCAGGCATCTACTTCAATAGATCAAAGGACATCAGTAACAAATGTGGAAAAATTTCGAACCAATGAATTAAAAGTAAGATGTGCAATAATTTTGTCTCGAAAATATGACATTCAATAATGATCGAATAACTAGAAAGTGTTGTGCAGACTAAGTTCCCCGCTTATATCCAAAAACTCGTTTTGTATTCTCTATCCATTTATGACTACCTGAGGAAAATATCTTATGTAATTCGATTGAAGATTGCGTCACCCAATCATGTCAAGCTGTGTCATAATAATCAAATAATCATGAAAATTTATAATTCTTAGATTGGCACATCTCGATTGAAACTGAGCTTCGAACAATTACCGAATGAACTATTGCTGTACATATTTCAATTTCTATCGCTCAATGATTTACATCGGGCTTTCTACAATTTAAATTTACGTCTAAATACTATTTGTTATTCACAAGAATTTCAAATGGATCTGACAAGGTTAAAATATGCATTTGACTATTATTGTTCTAGTCAGCAGCCATTTGCATCACAGATCTATAGTTTAAAATTATGCGACGAATGTGATCGTCTGACATTGGTCAATCGACATATGGATATTAGTCTTTTCAAGAATTTGAGAGCATTAACTATTCGGAAATCGTCTCCAGAGAATTTCAGTACGAATTTACATGTATTTGAAGTCTACATTATTACATTTGACTTTCTTGTATTTAGATAAAATATTGTCAAAACTTCATTCATTATCAAATCTACATTATTTGAATATCTATGCCACATTAATACAATCACCATATATAACAGCCAGACTATTTTCAATTCGTTCCTTAAAACGCTTAATTCTATATTCATTCGATCCAATTCTACTGCATTTAACTGATAATGCTATTTGTTCGTGGACTAAACTTGAATATTTAGAATTGAACAGTTGTTATATGATACATTTCTTGGAGCTACTCAAATATATTGGTCCAAATGTAAAACGAATGGCCATTACTATACTTTATAAACGTCGTGAGGATCCGGCATCAATTGATCCAGCAATAATCGATAATTTACTGTATGGTGATGAAGGACATCCTCAAATACCAGGTGAGATAGGCACAAGATGCAAGTTCTTTTCTAAGCAATGCAAAGTTTGCGAGTGGCACATTCTTATCAACTTGAAACATTAGTTATAAACGGGTCCAACTCAACGATGCATGTTATTCGTAGAAAAAGAATAGAGTTACTGTATTGAAGAAACTAATGACCTATTAGGGATGTGAACACATATTGTTCAATAGAAATATAGATTATAGGGTACGAAAATTTTTGATTTCAGAATTGAGATGAAATGAGCAAAATCGTGCAAATTTGTAAATAGATATCATACATACAAAAGTTACTTTACGTGTAGCACATAAATAAATCTAATATATATATATATTTTTCCAATTAGTCTTCTGCTCTCTACATCTTATTGAGCTGATGGTTTTTTTGCCAAACGATTCTCTATTGAATGCTTTAAAGATGAAAAATTGCATGAAAGATTGTATAAGGTGCCTAAAGATAGCATAAAATAAATGCATTTTCTCAAGAAGTGCTCAACCTCTGTCGAATGATATCACAAACATCAAAATGCATTTTCGTTAGACTTTTACCTAGTATCAAATATACTTTTGCGATCATAGTGGTTAATCATCTATCGTCAAAATAAATTGGTAAAAATCCGTAATATTTTAGAAACTTAACTTATACTTATAATGATTTAGGCGCATTTAATCGTAACTGAAGTTTATAAAAACCATACCTACAATATAGAGGTTTTTAACGCCTAAATGATAACTATTTCATTTCTTCTCTGGCACACAAGCTCAGTAAAACCTACTTTATTAGTTTATTTGTGAACTTACTTTTTCTTCATTATGATGTCTTACAAAATCTTTTGCATAATATTTTATCTGCGCATTTTGTGATACAAAGGGAAAAATTAGGTTAAAATATTAGTTCAATCAAGTGTAATGAGAAGATGACAATTAACAACTATTCAGAGTATAATTATTTATGTGTCATTCGGTATTTTATTGCTCTCGATGTATGGTATCACACACTGTTCACTTAGATATCAGTCATAAGTCTATGTTTAACGCATTCAACTGAAATTTTCTTAGAGAAACGATAGTTTATAGTACTTATTCCCAAGCGTGTCACTCAAGACTTAAAATAGAAAGCTAAGTTCTTGCTTATTCTTAACAATTTAGAATTTTGCTCTTTTTTAGTATCATTAAATCGTCTTTATATGTCTTTTCATTATTTATCATTAACGGACTTTCAACTCGTCCTAAAATTATTTCCCAATCTAAGACATTTAACATTTTCAACATCGACTTTCGATTTGAACTTTGCTTCGTCAACAATATGGCACGAGTTTATTTCCACAAATCTAACAAAATTAGAAAAATTTCAATTCTACATACGAATCACCGGTAAGCTGTTCGTTGTTCAGTAATCTCCAGTAGAGATGAAATGCCATACTTGTTTCATTTGAGGCTCCGCTATTCAACAATGTCCATCACCTGAACTTGTTCATTCATACAACAGCAATCATTACAAATGGATAGACGGTCCTGTCATTATGGATTACAATCATGTTTTAGAGCCGCCAACATTAGAAGTTTATACCTATTCACAGCCCGCACATAATAGAAAAAATGCTGTAGAATTTTATGGAAAGCAACGATATATGAAAACAACAAGCAATACGATTGATGTCGATAAAAATATAACAAAATTAAAAATTACATTACATGATAATGTTGAACAACTAGTATTGACGAATCAAAGCAGGACAATTTATCCAAACGTAACAATAATAACAATCCATTCACAAATGACAACAAGACCAAAAGAAAACGATCCTATAAGCAGGTGTGATAAATAATTTCTTCAAGGAACATTTTCTGCTTTTCTCCAAACTTTATAGATTTCTAAAAAAAGGGCAATCACTATCAATTACAATTAAATTTAGTGCTAAAACTATGAGTTTCAACTGGTGGGATATCGTTTAAACCTAAAGACGTGTTTGCAAAATCTAAGACTCATGAACTCTGCACGTGAATTTCATATGCATATAATTTTTTTTCTTTAGTATGATCTGTTCGGATCTGATTAAATCTATTCCTGATGTATCAAAAATCACTCACCTTCAATTTACCTTAAATGTACCAAGCAATGTAAATTATCCATCAAGAACATTAGTACGTCGTCTTCTCAACAAAATGCCAAAAATTCGTCGACTTGATTTATCCTACGACTACCTATTGGATTTGTTCGAATCACCACTAGTCGTTCACATGTTAACAAAGCAGATTCAGTCTGTCTCGATTACATTTCATAGAGATCCACCATTACTGCAAGATATAGCTCAAATCTTGAATGCATTCTCAACGAATTTACATTTTCTATATATGGAAGTCAATATAGCTTTTCCAGTCGACAATTTTTACGCTCTTTTGCCATTAATATTCAATGGTAAATGTACTAAATTGTATCATTTTGAACTAAGACTATCAAAACTACAACAAGCTTCACAATCATTTAGTACCGAATTTAAATTATGGCTGAAAGATTATCTAGCAATCTTGGCCAATAATGATCAAAAAAGATTGACTACAATGGAATATAGCATCAAAGATCAAGAATTTGTTGTTTCTTTTTGAATGAGACAAATATTTCATATTATTTTTCAAACTAGAAACATTTTTAGATAAACTATCATTGTGTTAAGTTGTATTGAAATTCAATAAATCATGAGTCTTTTGTATTGCATTCAGATGCAGGAATTCTAAATTAATTAGAATGTAAATGCATCACACTCTTGTTAACTTCGTATTTCGTGTGGATGTGTACGAATTGCATCACATACAGATGACTGCGATCTGCGACACTTTGTTTAAAAGACATGTAATCAGACAATCGTTGTCTGTGAGCAAACTATTTACATGTGCAGGCAGATGAGTAAGAGTCTTCCCTTCATTCAACCTCACACACTCACAATAGGACCTTGGTACATACGGGTTGAAACAATTGAGACGACAACAATTCACGTCATCACCATGGATGGGAGACTGTAATTGAACACCTTTCATAGCATACGCAGTTTTATATCGATTGTGATGAGGAAACACAAATGGTCCGAATCTCCTTCGTCGAGTTACTCGGATCTTGATTGAACGAATATCTACGAGTTTTATTCATGACCCAAGTTATCGGCTGAGCTTCTTTGAAAAAGAATTCAGTCTGATGTATTTTTCGACTGCATTCACGAGTTTGTCTCGCGTGGTTCAGATAAGTTCATCGAAAGAACACTGACTAATGTTTCTTTGTCCTATTTCACAATAAATCATCACTTTCCCTTGCACATCGTCAACTTCGAGCAGTGTCTGGATAATCTGATCTGAATTTATTGTTTATTGACGTATAATTTATCGATTAGAGTTTTCATCAAAGTAAGGCGGCAGATTCACCATCAGTTGTTTAACAAAATTGAGATGAATTCAGTGATGTAAACGAGAACCACATCACTTTTTCAGCATGCAGTAGAGTAGGATCAAAGACATCGTAGTCATGCGATAGATGTTGCTTCGATTCAGAAATTCATAGTAAAGGACATGCTTCGAAATCTTTTCAGCGTAACTTAGAGTCAATAAACATTTCTAATGAGCTTGAACGGAGGCTTTGGTTTGATCAGCCGATGTCCATTGCTACTTAACTCGAAATACGTCATTTGAAATGACTCAATTTTTTAGGAGAAAATCGCTAGGATCTCATTGATCGCGCTTAGATCGAAGGCCAGTACAAATACTGATGACCACAAGCGACACGCCTAGGCCAGTAGGTACATTGAATCATATTTTTGCTTTCTGATTTGGGTATTTTTTTCTACTGATTGTACTAACGGGTGGCCCAGAAAGAATTGCCCTCTCAGTACTTTTAAGATTTCTCCTCTATTATCCCTGTGATTAAAGCTCTTTTTATCATCAAAAGATAGCGCTTGAAATTTTCTACAAAACCATATATACCCAGACCCCAAAACAGTTTTAGATATAGTTGAAAAAATTCGAAAACAAACGACATACACCCCGCTGTAAAAAATAAATAACGGGTGTCCCATAATAAATGGCCACACTTTGCATTTCATATTTTAATCTATAAATACATTTTATTAAAAGAACAAAATATACCACAAGATGCAGCGTGAAAAGCTCTGCAACCTACAAATTAAAGTTTATTTTAATAATGTACTTCTTGTTTTAAAAAAAAAGCAAAACTCTGCGACACCAATTTTCGTCATTGTAAAAAAATCATTTTTTTTTATACCAACGAGAATTCCTTTTTCTTATTTTCTCTTTTTATCACCTAATATGTATCCTTCAAAAGAAACAAAATATACCACAAGAAGCAGCTGGACAAGCCCTACAATTTACAAAGAACAGTTTATTTTATTTGTGTACTTTTTATGTTCAAAAAAACTTCAAAATCTGTGCGATCGGTTTTCGCAACGACGAAAATTGGTCGTACAGAGTTTTGCCTTTTTTTGGAAACAAGAAGTATATTATTAAAAATAAACTTTAATGTGTATGTTGTAGAGCTTTTCACGCTGCATCTTGTAGTATATTTTGTTTTTCTAATGAAACGTATTTATAGATTAAAATATGAAGTGCAAAATGCGGGCATTTATTGCGGGAAACATATTTATTTTTTACAGCGGTGTGCATGTCTTTTGTTTTCGAATTTTTTTAAATATATCTAAAACTGTTTTGGGGTCTGGGTATATATGGTTTTGTAGAGAATTCCAAGCGCTATCTTTTGATGATAAAAAGAGCTTTAATCACAGGGATAATAGAGGAGAACTCTTAAAAATACTGAGAGGGCAATTCTTTCTGGGCCACCCGTTATAATGTAATTTAGGCAGTCAATAGTTATTTCTACTGTCGACATCCACTATAAATATGCCGAAAGGTTATGAATTTCTTAAGACACAAAGCAGATATTTTTCAATGTCATCAAGTTTGTCGAAAAATAAAAGTTTGAATCAGTAATCCTACTGTTCAATGTCAATGAACGACTATGATCTACGGTTGATATTTCTATGAGATCTGTGGTACGATTGAAGAGCGAGATGAGAGCCATTCAACATGACGTGATGGAAAGGAAGAGAAAAATAAATGAGGAGAAAGAACAAATGGAGAATCAAAAGGTTCAGGTACGTAGTCGACTGCGAAATTTATGATCAAGATCATAGTCTTCATCATCATCATCCACAATCAGCATCAACATCGTATCAATCAGTAATCCTGATCCTAGCTCGCCGTGTAAACTATCAAATTCTAGTCGTTCATCAACTATTTTAACGAAACAACAGCAGGAGACTATTCGACGAGTTTAATATAACCAAAGATTTAATCAAAGAGTAACCTTATGGCAGGACAAATCTACCCTATCATCAACAAGATTATTATCCATGTTCAGGCCTCGAATACTGACTTTCCTATTCAGTCAACGACATCGCTATGGCGGTGAATGAGAAAACTTGGATATGTATATAAATGAACATCGGAAGTCATTGTACCCCTCGATAATCTCATATTTATGGCACCGCCTGAGCGCTATTGCGTTGCTCTTGATGATTTGCACAGCAGTGGTGCCATGATTTTTTGTGACGATGAAACATGGGCCAATAAAAACGAAGAGAGGCGTTTTGTTTTGACTGATTGAGCAACAGGTGTAGGTCGAATGTGACGTAGTCAGAATAATAGTATTTATCATTTTTGTTAGAATTCAAATGATTATTGTCTATAATAATAGGAAAAGATTAGCAATTTCTGCTTTTCTAAATGAATCAGGTTTTCATAAGGTAACATTCGATATGTTAGAGTGTGACGAAAGCCATGGTGTGAATTTTAGACTTTTGACCTGGATTGATCGAACTACCTTGCTTTTCATAGAAGAATTCGATAATAGAACTTGTTATCTTTTACTATGAATTCCATCTTTGGTACATTTAGGCCAACCTCTCAAGGTTGTTTTGGTTATTGATAATGCGACATGGTATAACCAACTTACTGAAGACACCATCCTTCCCAAGAGGGCATGGAGAGAAGAAATTATCGCCCATTGGCTAGTAAGTCATAAAATCAGAGTTTGTGTTAAAGCCACTAAAGCAGAATTACTCTTGCTCGCTTTCGATGATCTATCACCAAAACGTTATGTAGTCGATGAGGTAGCCAAAACAAACAATGTTGATATTTTGCGGTTAGTTGAATGATTTCAAATTTTTTTTTGCATTGATAAAAGTATTTCTGTAGGTTGCCAGTTAAACATTATATGCTCAATACAATTGAATTAGCATGCACTGATTTGAAGAATTATGTACGTGACATGAATGCTAACTTTAGTTTCAGAGATATTCGATATCTGGCCTACCAATGAATGATATCTTTGAGTAAAGCAACTGCTATAGGATATATCAATGAAGCACATAAGATCGAAGACTTGCTCAAGAAGTCTGATCGATTCACGGAAGAAACTGAGGAACAATTGATAGATGAAGAAGAAGATATTGATTCAGCGGTAGAGGATGTGGACGATTAATGATATGCGTTGCTGCTCTTTATCCTTTTCGTAGTTGTCAATAAAAGAATGAAACCTAAGCTATTGTGCTTGTAGTCACAAGTATTTATGAAATATGAACAATATATTCCACGTTAACAATATAATAGCGTATGAAAACAACATGGTTCGATGGCTAGATATAATATCTTCATAGAAAAAGAATTGCTCTATAGCAAAGCAAGTATTGCCAATTGATTCAGTATGATCAACAACATCATCAATGAAAATTTGAAAAACATTTTGTGTCAGGTAAAATAGGCAAAAAAA